TTGTCGTGGCGAGGTCCGTACGGAGGCTCGTGGAGAGCGAGCGCTACGACAAGCAGCTGCTGCTGGCCATGAAGGGCATCCCGAGCGACACGAAGGCGCCGAATGCATCCACGCCAGTGGCAGACAGACCAGCCCCCGACCTCAACCTCCCGCAGCCCGCCAGGCTTCCGCGACCAGCGGACGCCGCGCCCGAGGAGGGGCAGGCAGGCCCCCAGGAGGGGGAGGTGAGGTTCGAGGAGCCGCAGGAGGGGGACCCAGGGGGCGCCGAGGCAGCTGCCGACGGCGACGAGGCCATGGACGACGTCGAGGACGCACCACAGCCCGTCACGAAGAGGCCGAGGGGCCGACCAGCTACACGAGTGCTTCCAGACCCGATGTCAAAAGAGTTTACCCCAGGCTGTAGTGGATGCTTGGGCACATCGTACCGTCATTCGAACTTCTGTCTTGAGAGGAGGGGGTTGCCTCCTAACGAGCCGCGTGGCAAGCGGGCCGCGGCAGAGAGCGCAGCTGCACCTGAGGTGAAGCGCGCAGCAATCGAGGAGCCTGAGAGCTCAGCTGGCAAGCGGGCCGGCGATGAGGCGCCTGCGGAAGGCGAGGCGCACAAGGAGAGGAGAATTGCTACGGTGAAGGTTGGCAGCGTGTCCGTCGCCAACTTGATGGGCTACCCAGACGACACCGAGCTCTGCACGCCGTGCGAGCTCGACCCCAACTTCGAGCTGCTGAGCGAGGCGTACTACGACGACGACGACGGTGAGCGCCTCGACCCCGACGCCGTCCGCGAGGGGATCAAGAGGGAGGCGAACTTCATGGAGTCCCTCGGCGTCGGTGAGGTCGTGGCGCGACCCCGACACATGAAGGTGTGGGGCACGAGGTGGTGCCACCGCAAGAAGGGTGAGGGGGTCCGCAGCAGGTTCGTCGTGAAGCAGTTCAGGGATGCCCAGGCGGGGGATTTCTTCGCCTGCACCCCGCGCACGGAGGCTGTGCGCGTGCTGATGGCGGCGGCGCTGATGCTCAAGCACGTCATCGTGACAACGGACTTCAGCGTGGCGTTCATGCACACGCCCGTGAAGGACGGCACCGAGATCTACGTGGAGATGCCGCCCGAGTACGGCATGGGGCATGGATACGTGTGGAGACTGAAGAGGTCTCTGTATGGGCTCAGAGAGGCAGCGCTACGATTCCAGGAGTTCCTGGAGAGTATCGTGGTCGGGATTGGATTCAAGGTCTGCAAGGCGGAGCCCACTATATACCATCACATCGAGAAGGGCATCAGGGTCGTGGTCCACACGGACGATCCTCTTGCCTCAGGTCCCACGCGGGGAGTGCTCGACGAGTTCTTCGACGAGCTGGCCAAGCACCTCGCGATCAAGGGGCGGTACGTCCTGGGCGAGAACCCCGTGATCTACCTCGGATCGTCGCTGCAGAGGTTCGGGGACGTGATCGTGGAGAAGAGCAAGCCCGGGTACGTCGAGAGCATCCTCGACGCGGCGGGGATGCTGGGCTGCAGGCCTGTGGGCACCGCTGGGGTCAGGCCAGACCTCACCCCGCCCGGAGCCGAGCAGCCGCTCAACAGCGAGGAGCATTCGCTGTACAGGAGGTGCTGCGGGAAGATCCAGTACGCGATCCCGCGGAGGCTGGACGTGATGTACCCGCTGAAGGAGCTCGGTCGTCGGCTGAGCGAGCCGAGGGTGGCCGACATGAAGTGCCTGAAGCACCTCCTCCGCTACCTCAGCGGGACGGTCGACCTGGCCATGGTTCACCGCTCCACGAAGGACTACAAGCGCATCCGAGGTAGCACCGACTCGGACTGGGCGGGATGCCACGAGACCCGCAAGTCGACAGCATGCGGGATCGTGCGGTGGTGCGGGGTGGTCGTCAGTGCCTACGCCCGCACGGAGTCAGTGCTCGCCCAGTCGAGCCCTGAGGCCGAGTACCTGGGGGCCGTGGAGCTGGCGGCGGAGATGCTGTACGTGAGGGAGCTCGTCAAGTTCATGGGCTTCGACGCGTCACTGGAGATCGAGTGCGACGCGTCCTCCGCCATCGCGATCGCCTCGCGGCGCGGACTCGGCAGGTTACGACATCTGGAGGTGAAGTGGCTATGGCTCCAGCAGCTGGTCGGTACGGGCCAGATCAAGATCGCGAAGGTGAAGGGCACGGAGAACCTCCCCGACGTAGGGACGAAGTTCCTGGGGAAGGGTGCGCTCGAGAAGTGTCGCACCATGCTTGGTCTGGTCCCGATCGACGCCCTCGGGAATGGCATCGTGGCTGCCCTGAGTGCGTCCCGAGGAGCACGGTACCTGGCGACGTTCATGGTCCTCGTGAACGGCGTGAAGGCTCAGCCAGCCACACCCGACGGCGGACCCGATCCACACCTGGCGATCGTGGTGATCTGGTCGGTCCTCTGCATGCTCGTGGGCGTGATGCTGTGCTGGTGTGGCCGGTGCATGTGCCTATACCTCCCGAGGTCAGCTGCAGGACGGACGGGCAAGGGCTGCTCCAAGGGTCAGCCCAGTGAGAGCTCGGAGAGGGGCAGACCGGAGCCAGAACCCGATCCGCCCCCAGCACCCGACGCTCCCCGTGATCCATGTCGGGAGCCGTCGGAGCCGCGTGGCAGGGGCGTGCTGCTGTTCCACCTGGACACGGTCGGGTCCTCGATCCATTCGAGTCCGAACTGCCAGGCTCTGCGCGATCGGCATCACCCGCTGGTGACGAGGAGGGGTTGCCTGATCTGCGCTCGGTTGCTGGGCCAGGGGGCGCGCATGCTGCACCACACGGACAGTGTCGAGAGTGCGGTCCACGCCGACGCCGCCTGCCGCGGGTTGAGGTCGCGGAGGCGCCGTCTCGTGAGCCGCGGAGCGTGTGCGTTTTGCTTCGGGCATCGTGGCTAGTGCCTGCCCGCTGCGCGTGCGCCCTCGGCAAGAGGCTCGAGGAGGGGTGTCGAGATATATCGCCCCCGACGCCCTTCCGTGCCTCCCCTACATATCCCTTTCCCGCTCTCACCCATGCACTGTACTGAAGCCGTTTCGGCGCTGAGGATTTGAGAGTGAAACGGATCGGCATCGTTTATTGCTGTTAAGAAGAACTGTAACACTGGAAACTACAGGCTACAACTGGTACAGGAAACTGCGAACCCGCGCCTACAGCCTGGTGGCCCCACAAGGGGGCCGGCGGATATATATATATATATATATATATATATATATATATATATACATACATATACATACATATAAATTGTGGAAACATGTTTTTATCGCCCCCCGGCGCGCCCGATTCCCGCCCAGCCGCAGCGCCTGGCGACCCGCGCCACGAGCCCAGCCTCCTCGAGGGCGGAGGCCGCGGGGCCGCGGCCGCGGGCGGAGGCCGCGGGCCCGGCTGCCGCGCTTCGCGCGGGGGTTCGTCGTCGTCGTCGTCGTCGTCGTCGTCGTCGTCGTCGTCGTCGTCGTCGTCATCTCCCTCCTTCCTCCTCCTCCTCCTCTCCCCCCTCCTCCCCCTCCTCCTCCCCCTCCTCCTCCTTCCCCTCCGCCTCTTCTCCTCTTCTCCTCCTCCTCCTCTCCTCCTCCTCCTCGTCATCCTCCTCCTCCTCCTGCCGCACTCCGCGCGGGGGTGCGCCCGCGGCCTCCGTCGGGCATCCCGTCTTCTGGGTGTTCCCCTGGTTGGGGGGCGGCATAGATAGGGGGGTGATGACGGGGGGGGGTGGATATCATGGTGGGGGCCATGGCATCTCCCCAGAATTCGTGGCGCCTCTTCGTGTTTCACTACGTCCCTGCCCCCCCCCCCAAGGACCGCGCACATGCCGCCGGTCATGGTTTGCGCCCCCCCCTCTTGGACGCCCCCTTCTTGGCCGCCCCCGAGCCCACGGCCCCTGTCGGGCAGCCCGTCTGCAGGGGGCCCCCCTCGTCGGGCCAAGCCCAGACCCCCCCGAGTCAGGAAAAAAATCTCCTGGCGCGAAGTTTCTCGCTTTTTGCGGCCTCTGGGGGCCCTTACCCGGGCCTCGGGGCCGTTCAGAAACGACCCGGGGCGTTTAACCGGGCCCGGGCAATGGGTCGAGATTTAGGTCGGGCCTGCCCCCCTACAGGGGAATTTTGAGCGAAACATGGAAAATATTTGAAAAATATTGGCCAAAAATCGTCAAAATATTGGCCAAAAATCGTCCCCATACTACTGTTTGACTATATTTGAATATTCCTCCTGTAGAGGGACAGGCCCGACTCAAGTCGAGACCTCTGGGGGTCGACGTTGTGAACAAAGCATGACGTCGGGGGTCTGGGGCTGGGCGGGGGGGCTGCCCAGAGAGCCGACGCTCCCCACGAGCTTGGCCGGTCTCGGCAGGGCTCGGCCTGAGCGGTGTTGTTCGCGATCCCGTGGGCCGTTCCCGCTTCGATGTTTCGTTTTGCGGTGTAAGGGCGGAGTGAAGGCAGCTCGAGGAGAGAACGAGAGCACGACGACGACGGGCAATACCGTTCAGGTCGAGCCCTGGTTTTCGGCCTTTGGGGGCCCGTGGCGGCCGCGGGACCATCAAGAAACGAGTCAGGTCAAGTCGGGCTTGTTTCTCTACAGGAAGGATATTTATCCTCATCCTCATCATCCTTTTCTCCCCTGGGAGGCGGCGCGAGAGCGCGAAGCTATTCGCACTTCGTGCTCCGCGCAGAGCGAAGCGCGAAGTTGGGAGCCCTTGGATTCGCCCTCCAGGATGTGTGGCGACCATACCCGAATCAGGCCTTACCGAAGCGGGTCTCCAATCTTTGTGTTTGAAGCGGTGGGAGCGAGGCTTGCGCCAGCCGGCGTGCTTCCCTGGAGTTGTTTTTTCTTGCAGGGGCGTTCCATGGGGTTCCTGTGTGTTCTTCGGTGTGCTTCATACTATTCTTGTGCCTGCCCCCGGTCGACTGGCTTCGTATCTGTGTTGCGTTCCCCGGGTTGCTTGATCTTCTGCGTTGTACAGCGTTCCCTGGGTTGTTTGGTCTTTTTTCCCTCAGGCCTTGTAACGCCAAGCCGTGCCAATCGACGTCACGCAATGTTGCTCCGTCCCCACTTGCTCATCTTGAGTATCATCCCCCGTTCACGTCCGCATGCATGAGGGCTTAAAGCAGCCGCATCATATCGACCCGTTCTCGACAAACCATTACCGAACAGATACATCTGTCAATCTGGACATCCGACTTCCCCACGATGATGCGGCGCGCCGGTGTTGCAGCGGTTCTGTGTGGGGAGCTGTCCGCGTGTTCGCACGCTTTCTTCGTGAGGCACGATCGCCACATCACCGCAGGCACGGGCAGCGACGAATCGGTGCTCGACCAGGGAGCAGCAGACGAAAACACAGCGGGGAAATTTCTGTCGAGTCACCACAGCAGCCAGTACTTCATCGCCGACCTCGATGATGACCGCATGATGCTTGTGACCGACCTTGGGGAGGGCTCTGCGCTGGACAGTCACGAGGGGATAATCGCAGACGAGGTGAGCTTAACGTTGTCACCCAGAGCTCGCCAGAATGCCCATGCTGCACAATTCGAGGCAGAGTTCAAGATTCATTTGAACATGACCCAGGCCCACGCCACAGGCATGCCCATGGGGCTAGAGCTCTCATTCGATACCGACTATCAGCCCGTGTCGGTCAGCAAGGTCAAGAAACACGGCCTTGTGGAGGAGTGGAACACGGCGAACCCTGGCAACGATGTACACGTGGGCGACGAGATCGTTCAGGTCAACAGCGTCCAGTGGCACCACAACACCCCTGATTTCGTCAAGCGCATCAGCGGCCAGTTCAAGGCCGGACGCAAGTTGACGGCTGGGGCGAATGAGTTGTTGACTCTCTACATCCAGAGGCCGAAGCAACATAGTCACAAGCGCTTCCCGGGGCAGCGGGAGGACGCCCATCACAAAGCTTACCCCGTTGAGTTCGATGCCAAGCTTACCGTTCTCCCGTTGGGGCTGCCCACGAGCGCCTCGGAGAACGAGGTCATGGGCTGGGAGTTGTACGCCAAGAACGACTGGGACCCGGTGTCGATCGGCAACCTCACGAGCGGCGGCGCCATCGCCGCCTACAACAGCGCCAACCCAGACCGCGCCATCATGGCCGGGGACGAGATCGTCAAGGTCAAGTCGAGCCTTTCCCTCTACCGGAGGAAGATTAAAAAATGGGCAAAAAACAGTTTTGGGACGATGTTTTTAGGTCATGTTGATCATTTTTGGGCATATTTGGACTATGCTTTGCATTTTTCGTCCAAAACCCGCCTGTAGGGGGACAGGCTCGACCTAACGTGAAGGTCAATGAGGTCGCTTGGCACCACAGCGCCAAGATCTTCCGGCAGCGCATCGCGCAGAAGTGCACGATCTTCCGCAGGCAGGCGTCGGGGTCCGAGCCGCTGGTCCTCTCCATTCGCCGGCCAGCTGCGGTCCACCAGGCAGCGGAGGCGGCGAAGGATGCCTCACTGGCTGCGGCCCAGGGCCGCGTCGACCCAGCCCAAAGTTCTGCTGCGCCCGAGCCGGCGCTGAAGAGCAGCGGGCCGTCGGAAGAGCGAGTCCGAACTCTCGCCGAGTCCCTCCAGGCGGCAACCGACAGGGTCCGGGCCCTGAGTGCAGAGCGCAGCGAGGTCGTCCAGCAGCTCTCCCAGCTCGTGCGCAGGAAGGCGAACATCTCGGCCGAGCTGGCCGTCGCGGAGGAGGCCCAGGAGGATCGGGCCGAGGGGGGGATAGGGAAAGGGGGGGGGTACGAATTCTGCTGCATGCAGCTGGCTTCGGCCCCGCCGCGGGGCCCATTCCTCGATGCATGGGCGCCTCCCGGCGCCGGGAGGCGCTGGGAGGCGCTGGGAAAATCAGCCACGCTACCCTACCTCGCTATCCCCCCCTTCCGTTCCCCCCGAGAGGAGCTGGAGGCCGAGCGCGACGAGGCCCTGCGGAAGGCGGCGCCCTCGGAGCAGCCAGGGGGCGCCCCCGGAGCGGGCAGCGGGGCGGTGGCCTCGGCGCTGCCGACGCAGACGCCCCCGGGCGCCTCGGAGGAGGACGGCAGGTCGTCGGAGCGGGTCAGCGTCGCAGGCCTGGGCCTAGAGGTTGACACCAGCACCAATATCGGCGTTGTGCCTCCACCGAGGGAAGAAGATCTCGACCTCGATCTCGGTGATGGTGGTAATGCTCTGGCTTCCAAGGTGTCCGAAATATGACCACCAACGCCAGAGTCTAGGATCATGTTCCCCCTGTGGAGGCAACCCCGTGTATTAGTGCTGGTGCCCATCTCCAGGCCTCCAACAGTGGGGATTCGGGGTCCCCGCACGGCGTGGGGACTCGGTCATTCTCCGAGGACTTCTCGGGCGATTGGGGCCTCCAGTTAAGTCGGGCCTGTCCCTTTACGGGGGGAACATAACAAATAGTCAAACAATAGCCTGGGGACGATTTTGGGGTCATTTTTTAATATTGTTGGGGGCAGTCTTGGGGTATCTTTTATTTTTCGTCCAAAGTGCGCCTGTAGGGGTACAGGCCCGACTTAAGATTCGGGATCCCCGCACGGCGTGGGGACTCGGTCATTCTCCGAGGACTTCTCGGGCGACGGGGATCTCCAGGGAAACCGTGATACGTCGGCGAAGCATCGGCGAAGCATCGACGATGGATCGGCGACGTCGGCGATGCATCGGCGACGTCGACGTGAAGAACATCGGGATCCACATCGAGCCGCATCGCCGATGCATCGGCGATGCGGAGCGGTCCATCGAATCCATCTACCCGAACCCCTCCCATTTGGGAGGCCTTGAAAGACGCGAGCCGCGACGCAAAAGACAAAACCGCGCGCGGTGAGGCTGGGGATCTCGAGGCCACCGCGCGGTCCGTCTCCGCGCATCTTCTGTGGCCCCGAAGGTCGGCGCCCCCCGGGAGTGCCAACAACGGCGGCGCGATCGGCGCCTCGGAAGGTGACGAACAGCCCGATGCCCCCGAGAGCGGCGACGACGTGATCGGCGCCTCGGAGGATGGCGACGAGTAGGCGCCCAGGTGGGGCGGTGCCCCGGGCTTCACATCTCCCGTCCCACCTCCAGAGAGTAAGGCGCAGCGTCGACGAAGACGTGTCGTGGGGGAGGAGGTGCAGGAGGACGAGGAGGAGGAGGAGGAGGAGGAGGTCGAGGAGGTCGAGGATAGCTGGGCGGAATAGGGAATATGACTGTGAGGGAGGGGGGGGGGAAGAGGAGGACCCGCGACTCAAATGACTCCGCCGAAGAACACGAGGGATCCACGACTGACCCGTGGAAAACGCGGCTATCCCGACGCCGCGTGGGCGTCACCGCTCTGGAGAATCCCAGTTTGCGGGTGACATTTAGCCTTGAGATTCTTCAGGGCCGTGGAACGTAGCCTGCTAGTCTCCCAGGTTGCGGGGGCAGTGCACCGGGCCAAGAGCACATGGGACTCGCGAGTGGATGTTGATCGCCCCCAGGCCTGGCACAAAGCAAAGGCCTTCGGTGACCATGTGGTGCCCGCGAATGGGCACGAAAGGGGCATCAGGGATGACTGCCACACGCAGCAGCGGGCCCGCTCGCGGCCTCGCCAGAAGCAGCAGCCCTGCCCACGCCAGCGCGGCCCGAGCGAGACACGGGAGGCGCCCGGGGGCACCACGAGCAGCCCCCTCGAGCCTGCCGCTGCCAGGCGACTCGGCGCCCCTGGCAGCCTCCGCAGGCGCCCCGCGCACGGCCCAACGGTCCGAAGGAGCCGAGAGGGCCTCGCGCAAGGGGAGGGCCTCGTCCAGCTGGCCCCTGGGAGCCGCCGCCGCCGCGGGCGCCCTGCACGGCAGCCATCGGAGCCGACTTGGGCTCAGAACGTTCCGGCGCGGCTTGCCCGGCACCCGCCCACTCTTGACGGCCAGCCGCGGCTCCCAAGACGCCTAGCGCGAGGCGCAGCATCTGCGGGAGCGCCCGGCGCTCGGTGGCAGAGCTCAGGCCAGGCAGCGTCGCAGGCTGAGCCATCGTGGTCGACGCTCGTGCTGCGAGCGTGGAGCGGCGAGCGGCGAGGGCCAAGCGCCCCAGAACGGCGCCTCTGCCTCAGGGTTCGCAGCGGGCGCCGCGTACTCCAAATCTCTGATTCATCGACCCCCCCTAATAAACCGGACCCCCCTCCAAATGCGACCCAATATTCTGGACCCCCCTCTTCGACGGGGCGCCTTCATAAACCGGACCCGCTATTCTCCAATCCAACGAACACGCCCTAATAAAACGGACCCCCCCCCAGTTACAAAAAAGGCGCCTTTCAAAACCGGACCCGGGGGACGATCCATAAGGGATTTGGAGTAGGGGCAGGCCGACGACCAGATTGAAGCGGTCGTAGTCCTGCTGGGCGATGCCGACGCCCGCCACCTCCTTCGGGCGCCCCCTCACCTCGATGGCCCCATCTATGGGCTTCCCGCAATGCCGAATTATGGGAAACCCATCTGCCGCCAGAAACCCTAGGGGATTCTGGCAGCCGATGGGTTTCCCATAATTCGCAGGCTTTCTGGCGGCCGATGGGTTAATTCGGAATTACGGGACGCCCATTGATAGACAATTGCCGCCTGCGAATTATGGGAAACCCATCGGCCGCCAGAAGCCCCTAGGGAATTTGGCGGCATATGCGTTTCCCATAATTCGGAATTACGGGACGCCCATTGATAGACGATTGCCGCCTGCGAATTATGGGAAACCCATCGGCAGCGAGAAACCCCTTAGAAATCCGGCGGTCTATGCGTTTCCCATCATTCGGGATTACGAGAAGCCCATACTGGGATGGGCGCGGGGGTTGCTACGGGGAGGGGGGGTTATCAGTGGACGCCAAATGGGTTATACTTGGTCTAACTTAGCTTTTAAGTGAGATACACATGCCCCAAGTGGCTTAGGAGCCCACTTAGCGTGGATCGCTGTCCCCCCCAAGCCACTTGGGGCATTAGCAACCCACTAATGAGCTAGGTTAGGCCAGATATAACCCACCTTGGTATCCACTGATATCCCCCCAATCCCCGTAGCAACCCCCGCGCCCTTTACAGTAGATAGGCGACTGCCGCTTGCGAATTGACGGAAACCCATCGATAGACGATTGCCGCTTGTGAATTATGGGAAACCCATCGGCCGCCAGAAACTCCATATGAATCTGGCGGCCCATGGGTTTCCCATAATTCGGAATTTCGGGAAGCCCATCTATAGAAGATTGCCACCTGGAAAATATGGGAAACCCATAGGTCGCCAGATTCCCTAGGGGGTTCTGGCGGCCGATGGGCTTCCCATAATGGAATTTCGCAGAATCCTGGACGCCGCGCAATTATGGGACATTCGCATTCGAATTCGCTCGCGCAATGGGGACGCCGAGCGGGATCGAGATTCAGAATTATGGGAAACCCACCGGCCGCCAGATACCCTAGAGTTTCTGGCAACCTTTGGGTTTCCAATACTTCACGGCGGCGAGCGGGGTCCAGGCTCCGAACCATGGGAAACCCATAGGTCGCCAGATCCCTTGGCGGGCCGCTCCTCCCTGGCATGCTCGCCCGCGCGCGCGGCCAGCAGCGGCGCCACCTGCTGTGCTTGCCCCGCCTCGAGGCCCAGGCCCTGCGTGGGCGGGCACCACCTCCGCCGGCGCCGAGGTCTCGGCCGGCCGCGCCCGGGCTCGCGCGGGCTCGTGGGGCTCCGTGTCGGGGGCCGCCGGCTCCTGCCAGCTGCGCCTCGGCTGCTGCGTCAACGGCGCCACGGGCGCTGCTCCTTCCTCTCGGAGGGTGGCGGCCTCGTGCTCCGCGGGGGCGCCCTCGCTCTTGCTGGTGGCCGCCTCGTGGTTCTTGATGCGGTGGGCGCGCGGGCGGGCCAACGGCAGCTTCTGGTGCCAGTCGCCCCGCTCAGCCACGAGCCCCTCGCGGAGCACGGACCAGTCGGCGCAGCCGACCCCGTCGCACAGCCCAAATTGCTTGTCGAGCTCACGGATGCGGTTTCGGATGCTGCCCCCCCCCTTCCCCCCCGCGGTTGGGCCCCGCCGCCATTGCGCATTTCGCCGTCGCCGACGACCATCTCACCCGCGTCGCGGGGGGCGATGGCTGCTATGAGTTGCTCGATCTCCTTCTTGGCCAAGGCAGCCGCAGCGTCCTGGCTCGCGGTTTTGGCAGCAGCCCGCGGCGGCACGACGGGGGTGCTTGCTTGCTGGTGCTTGACGACACCGCGTCGGCCTTCTAGCATATCCTTTTTCGCCCGCGCGTACTTGGTATAATTCGGCGCATTCACGTGATTCCACCACTCGGCTCCCGTCCTTTGGTGGTGCATGCAGAACTTGCACGTCCATATCTTGGCCGTCTCGGCACAGCGTTTGGTTGCCATGGCCTCGCCGTGGTGACCCTGCAGGCGGCGAGCCTTGCTGCGACGCTGCCGCTCGCGCCTGTGTCAGGCAGGAAGAGTGGCTCGCTCCCGCGGAGAAGGTGGGTGGCACCAGCGCCCTGGTCGGGGGCGGCTGGCGTTTGGGGGTCAGATGGGATGCTGCGCCTCGCCCCAGCGGGGGCTCGGAGCCCAAACGGCAGCCTGGGTGGGAAGAGGATGAGGAGGAGGAAGAGGAGGAAGAGGAGGAGGAAGAGGAGGAGGAGGAGGAGGAGGAAGACGACGAGGACGAGGAGGAGGAGGAGGAGAAGGAGGAGGAGGAGAAAGAGGGCACGTAATAAAGGATGGGATGATGGCGTTGAGCAAACGTTGAGTGGAGGACGGGGAAGCTGGGGAGGAGGAGGAGGAGGAGGAGGAGGAGGGGGAGGAAGCTAATGGTGAGGAGGACTGATGTTGAGGACGGCGGAGAAATTTGGAAAGCTTCGGGAGGGGATGGTGACGGAGGCAAAGGGAGAGGAGGAGGAGGAGGAGGAGGAGGAGGAGGAGGAGGAGGAGGAGGAGGAGGAAACCGATGTAACATGATGAACAGCGTAGAGGACGACGGAAAGGAAGAGGGGAGGGAGGTGGAGGAGGAGGAGGAGGAGGAGGAGGAGGAGGAGGAAGGATGAGGAGGAAGAAGAGGAGGAATGGGAACAATATGATGCGGCTTGCGAGGAGGAGGAGGCGGAGGAGGAGGAGGAGCAGGAGGAGGAGGCGAAGGAGGAGGAGGATGAAAAAGAGGAGGATTGACAGCGTAAACCCAGCATGTGCAACCGATGCTGCAGTACACGCTCCCGCCCTGAGTCCCCTCATCATCAGTCTCCTCATCATCAGCCCGTTTCATCGTATTCACTTTGCTCGGGACTGGGTCTGGGGGCCCTCGGACTGGGACCACGACCGCACAGGGGGGTGCCCGGAGCCCCGGGGATGCCATTTCGGGCCCTCCATCTTTTCGGGCGGCCTAGAGCCACCCCGAGAAATTTCGAGACGCCCGTGGATAGCCCCAGAAAGCTCCCCGAGCCGCTTGTGGTCCCGCACTGCCGCCAGAGGGTAGCCCTCCGAGCGTTCACGGATCCAACAAGCATATGTTCTCTTATTTTTGTTACCGTTGTCGCCTTTTCGGGCCTCAACTGCTTCAAAAAGGCCGACGACGCCTCCAAGCTCGCCCCAAGACGGCCCACCGGGCCCCGAAGAGAGCCCCACGGCGGCTTCCAAGAAGATCCTAAGACTGCCCCAGAGGGCTCCCAGATCTTGCTGACGGCCCCATAGTCCCGCGCCACAGGCTCCAGCGGGAAGCCCCGAGACTGTTCTCAGATGGCCCTCCGAGCGCCCCCAGGATTCCAAAGTCATGGACCACCCGTGTGCTTTCCAATCTTTCCAGCGTTCCCCTCCGAGCGTCCCCAGGGGCAGCAAAACCAATGATTGTCTTTCGGCTTTCGAGCAGTCTTCGACCTCCTATGTTCCCTGCCCCCCCACTGTTCCAGACCGCCCCCGATGTGGCCAGGATCCGCGCCAGACGGACCGATACGCCTCCAAGAGCACACCCTGACAGCCCACGAGAGGCCAAAGCCTCCCCAAGAAACCCTCGTAAGCTATCGGGGCTCTCGGGCAGCGTGCGCCGGATGATGGACAGTGTGAACCCAGCATGTGCAACCGATGCTGCAGTACACGCTCCCGCCCTGATGATGCGTATGCAACCGTTGCTGCAGTCCCCTCATGATTAGTTCCCTCATCATCAGCTCGTTTCATCGTATTCATTTTGCGCGCGACCCCACAGGGGTGTGCCCGGGGCCCCCAGGATGCCATTTCGGGCCCTCCATCTTTTCGGGCGGCCTAGAGCCACCCCGAGAAAATTTCGAAACGCCCGTGGATAGCCCCAGAAAGCTCCCCGAGCCGCTTGTGGTCCCGCACTGCCGCCAGAGGGTAGCCCTCCGAGCATTCACGGGTCCAACAAGCATATGTTCTCTCATGTGGAAACAGAAAGCAGGCGGCACGCGGAGGCGGCCTCTTGTCCCCCCCCCCTCCGCTTACTGCAAGTTCGGTTGTTGCATCGACTCTTGAATCTCCTGCCTCCTAGCTGCGGCCCGATGTTGGCCCTTTCTTCATTTGAGGTTCGGGTTGACCCTGTAGGGCAATCCACAGGTTTCAACGCAGCACTTCTTTAATCTGATTGCCGCCGCCTCGCGCCTTTTCGTGGCCTCCTCCGCCGGTCGGCTTCTGGCATGGGCCAGCTGCCGCGGGAAGCGTGTAGATCGCTCGCCGTCCGTGGTCCAGGGGACCCGCGAGCCACCGGAGAACTCCTGAGGGGCAACAACAAAAATGTTCTCTCATGTTTGTTATCGCTGTCGCCTTTTCGGGCCTCCGACGCTTGAAGAAGGCCGACGACGCCTCCGAGCTCGCCCCCAAACGGCCCACCGGGCCCCGAAGAGAGCCCCAAGGCGGCCCAAAATAGTCCCAACAGGGCCCAAGAGGTGCCCCAGAGGCCCCACCTCATTCCTAGGCGGCCCGAAACCGCTCAAAGAAGGCCCCAAGATGCCCCTGGATTCCCTCAGGGGGCTCCTAGATCACTGACGGTCCTATAATTTGTGCCGCCACGGGCTGCAGTGGGAAGCCGCGAGACTGTTCTCAGATGGCCCTCCGAGCGCCCCCAGGATTCCAAAGTCATGGACTACCCGTGTGCTTTTCAATCTTTCTAGCGTTCCCCTCCGAGCGCCCCCAGGGGCAACATATCTAATGATCGTCTGTCGGCTTTCGAGAAATCTCCGACCTCTCAAGTCCCCTGCCCCTTTACCGCCACAGGCCGCCCACGAGGTGGCCAGGATCCCCGCCAAACGGACCTACACTGCCTCCAAGAGCGCACCCTGACAGCCCACGAGAGGCCCGAGCTTCCCCAAGAAGCCCTCGTAACCGATGGGGGCTCTCCGGCAGCGCGCAGAGTCACCGCATATATTTCGAGCAGAGCCTCCGCAGATTCGAGAGCAGCCCAGTCAAGGTCCGAAAAGGGCCTCCCTGGCAGAGCCACTTGGACCCCTCGCGGCGGGCGGGGATCCATGCCGTCCCAAAGCGATCCTCCGCATGCAGACAGGAGGAGGGGGAAGCCAGAACCGACGAGCAGGATGAGGATAACCAAAAGTAGCCGCAGCAGGACTGCGATTCAATGGTCGGGACGCATTTCGGCGTGGGCGGACCGCACTGAAAGGTGGGCGCCTTGGGAAGAAGGAGAAAGAGGGTGAGACTGAGGAGGAGGATGAGGAGGGGAACATCGTAAGCACCCAACGGTTACCTGGCATAAGCCTCACAATATTCTTAGAGACCGTGTCTTGGTTCGCAGTCTTCCTATCGATTCAGTCCATGATGAAGCCGCAAGCCCAGCATGGGGGCGACATTGTGTACAGGTGTGGAACCTAAGCGTGCGCGGAGCGCGCGCGTGGTTCTTTTAGTGTATCTAGTGCGGGTCGCAATCCACGCAAGACCAACCACGGTTAAACCTATGTTAGATCGTTCTAGACATTCCCAAGGGGTACATACAAACAAACAGCCCATACCCCCCCTATCGCAATCCTTTTGGGCGCGGTGCAGCGTGCATCGTGCGAACACCCTCTTCACGCGTGCCTGCCGATCGCTCCAGGTGTGTGTCCAAATTGGCCACCATGCCCTTCCTGCGCACTAGGAAAAAGGTGTCCTCACCGTCGCCGCCTTCAACATCACCATCACCATTTACCACATCATCGTCGCCTGGCCACGGGTAGCTACACGAAACAGTTTGCCCGCTTGGACCCCTCTCTGCACATCCTGCGCTCTCCTGGAGCAGCCAGGGTCTGGGCTCCCTCCAGGCCCACTCTCCGCGGGGACGGGGGCCAGCGCAGCCGTGCATCGCATCACGGGCAGTTACACATTCACGTTTCCAGTTCAGGTATAAGTGCTACCACCCATCTCTTCTACTCGACATCGTCTTGGCGTTGCACATGTTTTGAGCAGCGTTAGATGACATGATCACCTGCACACGAACTACCTGTATCGATGCCGACGTTGACCTCGAACAACGTAAGCGTTCATTTCCATTTTGACGATTTATTTGGCCCCCTCATGATGAAGGCCCTTGGGCAGTATGGAGCGAAGACATCGGGGTTAGGGCAGGCAGAGCTTGGCATGAATCATGATCAGGTGCCATCTTGTAATAATCGGCGACTGCGCCTATGCAAAGACTTGCGATGACTGATCGCTGCCGTCCCGAAGACTTGTTCCAGGTTTGGAAGAAGCACCTTGAGACGGAACAAACTGGACCCTCTCAGGTCGGGGCATTTCGGAACTAATGGTTAGCAGGATGTCTCAGGCGTAGCTGGTCGGACCTCCCAAGCGCGAGTCCAAGAAATCCGCGCGGAGGGCCATAAGTTTATGTTTGTGTGTGTTTTTTTCTTCCTCTATTTTGGAGCCCTGACATGCGTCCCGATCTCACTGACTCAGTTTTTCTTTCGCCCCTCCTCCCCCGCTCGGCCGCGCACATGTTGCAGGCATGCTGCGCTAACCTTACGTCGGGCGTGTCCCTCTACAGGAGGGATGTTCCAAAATTGTAAAAAATAGTAGGGGGTAGATTTTTTGTAATATCATTTTTGACCGTTTTGGGGTGTTTTTTATGATTTTTTATTTTTCGTCCAAGATCCGCCTGTATGAGGGACAGGCCCGACCTAACGCTAACCCCACTGGCAAAGTCAGCGGGGATAGGCTCAGTGGGAATCGCGTCGACCTCCAATCGCCCATTCATCGCCGATGGAGGCATGATAGCCCATCCCGCCCCCATGAACCTCCGGTTTCGCAATCGAGGGCCTATTCTGCGATCGCCGACGCATCGCGCGAGTCCGGGTCATTGATTACCCCCTAGAGCCCGTCACCCTTGTCGCAATCCCCACCGCAATCCTTCTCTTTCCGCCTCCCACGCCCTCCTCGGTCTTTGTCCTTGTCCTCCTCCTCCTCGTCATCATCTTCGTCATCCTCCGCCTTCTCCTTTTGCTCCTCACCAGTCTCCTCTTCCTTCTCTTCCTGGGTCAGTTCCCTTTCATAGCTTCCCCTCATCAACCCCCCTCTTCTCCGCCCCGCTCCTCGTTTCCGACCGACGGGGGGCCGCTGTCTGGCCTCAAGGGGGCTACGGAGCAATTTGGCCACGCTCTGCTGGGGTGGGGGTTTGAGATGCCCCGGGACTCTGTCCCAGCTCGTCGCGGCAACTTTGCCCGCGTACCTACCCCAGCTAAGCGCGGCAAGCGGGCCCTTCAGCCGACAACGCCCGCTCTCGCTGAGTGCGGCAAAGGTTCACGTGTGTCACGCTGAGCTGGGGGAAGGGCCTGAGTTGGCCCAGCTCAGTGCGGCGACGTTGCCCTTCATTTCTTAGTGCGACGACTGAGTGCTGCAACCGGCCCCTCAGACCCACCCCGCCCCCGCTGCGTGCGGCAAATGGGCAAGTAGTCCGCGCCAGCTAGGGCTGGGCTCTTAAGTGGCGAAAGTTGCCCGCCGATTTTGGTGGCCAGCTGGGTTCCCAGGTTCCCCGTTCCAGGTTCCTGGGTTAATTGGTTGTTGGTTCGGGGCTGATTTCGGTGGGTTCTGGGTTCCCGGGGTCCCGGCCGATTTCCTTGTCGATCTCTTCATCGATCCCATATCAAACCATCCATTGATTGGGGTTTTTCTCTGGTGTAATTTCTGTTTTGGGTATTTTTCGGTCGGGCCTGTCCCTCTACAGGAGGAATGTTCAAACATAGTCTGAACATTTTATGGGGACGTCTTTTGGGTTTAACATGATATATATATATACTTATAGATATAAATATGTGTATATATAGGTGTGTATATATATAGATTATATATTCTGTTGGGAAATAGTTGAGCATTTGTAGGGCATGTTTTATTTATTATCCAGAATCCACCTGTAGGAGGACTGCGGGTAATCTTGGCGCTCCGCGCGGATGGGGCCCAGGCGCGGATCCAAGAGGTTCGCGCGGAGCGCCAAACGTTTATGGTTGTGTGGCTTCTTCTTCTTCTTCTTATTCTTCATCTTCTTTGTCTTCTTCTTCTTCTTCTTCTTCGTCTTCGTCTTCTTCTTCTTCTTCGGCTCCAGAGCCCGCCTCGCTCCAGAGCCTCCCTCGCTCTGTGGCCCCCCTCGCTCTGTGGCCGCCCGGCCCGAGGGTAGTTGTCCTGCGGCTCGGGCTTCTCCGCCCGGTGGCCTCCCGTGGCCGCCCGTCGCCTCGCGAGCGCCCTGCTGGCTGGCTGGCTTCTCGCCTGCTGTGGCCGCCCGTGGCTGCTCCGTGGGCGCTCTTCGTGTCGCCTGGGGTTAAGTCGGGCGTCTCCCTCTACAGCTATATATCTATATATATATATACACACATGTATAGACATGCATACATCGTTCCCTGTCCCTCCTGTTACAACATGTTAAAACGATGTGGTCGTCGGCCCCATCAGCCAAACATGTTAAAACGATATGGTCGTCGGCCCCATCAGGGGCGACGCGTGCGTTCAGGCACCGTATGTTATATGTTAGGGTGGTGGGTGCTTTTTGGCTGTACTGCCTGGGTAACGATCTATTACCAGATGTTTGTTCTGCGTGTTCGGTTCGGATGTGCGTTTCAGGGGGGGGCGCCACGTACGAATATGTTCATATGCGTCCAATCTGGGCCGCCTCTTCCAGACGAGCATTCAATATACATACATTTATATAGATATTATAAAAAGTCAAAAAAGTCTGGGATCAATTTTTGTTGAGCAAGCAATCCGTCCGATGGCCGGCTCGCTCATGGCGCCCAACATCGCAGAGCGGATTTCGTTCGGAAAGCAATAGGATGGGCCCGGAGTGTCCAGGAGAATTTCGTTCCGCATGTCGCAGTGACTTGCGCGCGGTTGTTTTGGCCAGGAATGAAGACCAAAAAGAATCCACGCGAAGTGCACTTCGTTCTTCGCTCGCCGCTTCGGGCACACATCCATGCAGCAATGCACGCGGGAATCCGCTGCAGCACGTCTGCGAGGCTCCCCGGCTGGTTGTCCGCCCCGTGGCCGCCCTTGGCTGCTTCGTAGCTTTTCGTGTCGCCTGGCAGTTCGGGTCTTCCCCCTGGCGCCCCGTCCGATGGCCAGCGGTGGCCTCCCGTGGCCGCCTCCTGGGCGCCTTGCAGGAGCTGCCGGGTCCTCTCGGAGTGGCCGCCCGTGTGCGGTTTGGGGGCGCCTCGTGCGTTGGCTGCACCACGTGGCTTGCGTGAAGTCGGGCCTGTCCCCCTACAGGAGGAAAGTTTAAACATAGGAAAAACATGCAGTCAGGGGATGAGTTGTGGATTATGGTTTTTACCATTTTGGTATATGTTGCGTTTCTTCTTTTTAGGAATTTCTCCAACATCCCCCTGTCGGGGGACATGGCCGACCTAAGGCTTGCACCACGTAGTTTGCGGTACAGGCTTCCAGGCAGGTTTCAATCATGGCCCCGATGGATGCCGCAAAGCGGGAGTCGCGGTGGACCCGCCAAGGGGCAATGATCGCGCAGATTTGGCAATCCGTGTGGGTTTTGTGGTACGGCCTCGGCGGGGCTCGGTACCGATCGTTACAAGTCTTCTGTGGGGGTCAGCTTGGCCTGCCGTGGGGGTGAGAGGGCCGTCTTGGTGTCCTTCGGCGAGTGGGGGGGTCGTTTTGCAGTGGCGGTGCCGATCGCTGAAACGTGTTACTTTTCCGATGAGTTTCTGAGACTCATGTGGCCTCCTTTGGCGTTTTTGCCTGTCTTGGTGTTGCTTGGGGGCCAGCTGCGTGCCTCTGGGAGTCCATTGGCCACGATGTGCGTGAGGGGTGTTCCGAAGTGATCCGAGGAAGGGGCGAGGGATGAGAGAGGCGGCAGGAATCTAGGCCTCTCAGATGGGGTCGGAGCAGATGGGGTCGGAGGATCGCGCCGCATCGCCGATGCATCGCCGATGCGGCTCGATGTGGAGCCCGATTTGTTTCACGCTGTCGTCGCCGATGCTTCGCCGATGCGGCGCGATCCTCCGACCCCATCTACTCCGACCCCATCTATCAGCCACGCGCAGAGCGGGATGGGGGGAGTGGGGAGGGCTTCTTAAAAGCACCCCCTGCCTCTCAGCAGGCGGGGGCTCTATCTATAGACGTAAGGCCGGCGCCTCCTAGGAAGCAGCCTCCCTCTAAGAAGCCCTCCCCCCTCCCTCCACCCCTTTGTGCCCTCCCCCCTCCACAATTATTCAATATGAATATACTCTCCCTCTTCCCCTGATGGCGTCCGGGTGATGGCCGCGCACCCTCCGCGTATTTTTTTTACACACAGGATGCCCGGGAAATCCCGGGAAACGACTCTCGCTGAGGCGCCAGCGTCATTTTTTCCCAAAATGCTGCTCTCGTTGAGGCGCCGGCCTCATTTCTGCTCCCGAATCGTTCCGGATCGTGCTCCCGCTGCAGCGTGGGCCTCATTTTCGGATCGGTGCTAGGCCTCCGTCGTTCAGGATGGCGTTCTCGCCCAAGCGCGGGCCTTTTTCTCGCGCGCCCATCCGCCCGCCACCACCGCGCCGCACCGCCACCACCACCACCACCACCACCACCAACCACTAGCACCACAACCACCACCAGCACCAGCACCAGTACCAACACCACCACCACCACCACCACCCCACCAGCAGCACCACCACCACCACCACCACCACCACCACCACCACCACCACAACCACCACCAGCACCAGCACCAGTACCAACACCACCACCACCAGCACCACCACCACCACCACCAGCACCACCACCACCATCACCACCACCACCACCACCACCACTACCACCACCACCACCACCACCACCACCACCACCACGACAACCACGCACACACGCACGCACGCACGCACGTGCACCACCACCCACTACGCACGCGCGCGCGGAGCCACAGGTCCGCTACGACACGCGTCCGCGGATAGAGAAAATCAGCGCCATGGTAAGGGATGGGAGGGAGGGGTAGGACGTCAGATATGACGCGAGCGCACCTAGCTTGTCCTCCCCCCTCCCTCCCCCCCTCCCTCCACCCCCTTGTGCGCGCCGACCCCGTCTGGGAGGCCTTCCCAAGGAAGTGGTCACAGCGCGGGCCTCCCTGTCTGTCGGTCGTGCTCGGGACGGGCCGGGCACAGCCCCAGGGGCGCTGCCAGGCGGAGGTTCGCAGCTGCGGGAGCGGACCCTTCGGGCGGGAGAAAACGCCCCGGGAATCTATGCGTGACCACCGCCTAGAGGATCCAAGTTCGGGGACCCTGCAGGCGGTGGATGTGGATATGGAGACCGTTGCTTTATTGTTTGGGGCATGACGGGCGTCATGGCCCCCGCCCCCCCCCCTATGACGTAACGCTCCACCCCCCAGTGCGCTCCAGGTACTGCCGCCGTGCGCATTGGGATCCGCGTACTGAGGCATCCGCGAAGGAATCCGCATAGGAGTCTGATCCGCAGGCGCAGTCGTCGTCGTTGTCGTCGTCGTCGTCGTCGTCGTCGTCGCTCGTGGCTCGTCGCTCGTCGCTCGTCGCTCGTTGCTCGTCGCTCAGTCGTCGTGCGCGCGGACGCGGCTGGAGCCTGTTTTTTTAATTCCGGGCCGATGACGGCAATCATCTGGGGGGGTGGAGGGGGTCGATGACGTCACGCTTCGTGCCGGCGACACCTTGCGATTAAAGGGCCGAGGGAGTTCTCGCAGTTTGGGTTACCACGCCTTGCGATGGATGTGCGTGAAGGGTGGCACCGAATATCAGAAATGTGGCAAATCCCCTGTGTTTTTGGACCCTGACCCCGCGGATCTGCGTGAGGGGTGGCGCCGAATTTCAGAAATGTGGCAAATCCCTTATGTTTTTGGACCCTGACCCCGCGGATCTGCGTGAGGGGTGGCACCGAATTTCAGAAATGTGGCAAATCCCCTGTGTTTTTGGACCCTGACCCCGCGGATCTGCGTGAGGGGTGGCACCGAATTTCAGAAATGTGGCAAATCCCCTGTGTTTTTGGACCCTGACCCCGCGGATCTGCGTGAGGGGTGGCACCGAATTTCAGAAATGTGGCAAATCCCCTGACCCCGTGTTTTCACCCTGACCCTGACCCCGCGGATCTGCGTGAGGGGTGTCGATTTCGAGGCCCCCCAACAATTCAGACAACGCGCCCAGGAGACGCTGAAAAATCTGGTTTGGGCCTCCCCCCCCCTCGCGCGGTCAATCAACTAGTTACAGTAACCAGCAAGAAGCAGAACTGTCGAGATATATCGCCCCCGACGCCCTTCCGTGCCTCCCCTACATATCCCTTTCCCGCTCTCACCCATGCACTGTACTGAAGCCGTTTCGGCGCTGAGGATTTGAGAGTGAAACGGATCGGCATCGCTTATTGCTGTTAAGATGGTAGCGGAGCGCGGTTGACACGGACCCGCAGATCCACGGAGATCAGATCAGCCGCCCGTGAGGCGACTGACGGCCGCGATGAGCGTGGAAGCTCTCGCACAGGAGCTGCTAGAGACGAAGCGAGAGCTCGGCCGACTGATGGAGACGGTCGAGAACCAGAACCAGACGATCACAGGCCTCCAGACGGAGCGAGCCGACGCAGACGCAGCGAGTCGGCATCAGACGACGAAGGCTTTCGCCAATGCGATCATCGGAGACAAAGGCAAGCCGCCGACCTTTGACAACACGAAGAAGCTGGACTTCCATGACTGGGCGTTCAAGTTCAAAGCGTACATCGGCAACCAGAGTCGGAAGTGCCTAGAAGGAATGACCCAGGTCGAGTACAGCCAGAACCAGCTGAACTACGCCAACTACGACGATGAGTGGAGACAGATGGCGCAGTCGTTATTCTACCAGCTCACGATGTATACGGAGGGCACCCCGCTCGGCATCATCCGCAAGGTCAGCAACCAAGACGGATTCGAGGCATACCGCAGGCTGAGCTCCCAGTATGACCCTCAGAACATGGGCAGCATTCTATCGAGACTAATGAGGGTGCTGGAGTTTGACTTCGGCGGAGAAGCGGATTTCCTCGACAACATGGCGAAGTTCGAGATCTCGATAGAAGAGTACGAGAAGCTGGCGAGCGAGGCCCTCAGCGACAACATCCGCTCGGCGGTCTTGATCGCGCGAGCCCCTGAGGCCTTGAGGAACCATGTGCTGCTGGGGACACCCAAGGAGGAGATCCAGTGGGCGAGGATCAAGAAGGTGGCCGCCGACTTCCTGCTCACGAAGCAGTCCATGCCTGGTGGCCCTGCGCCGATGGACATCGGCGCCATCAACAGCAAGGGCGGAAAAGGATACGGCAAGGCCAAAGGCAAAGGCAAGGGCAAAGGCAACGACACCAGAGGTAAAGGCAAGGACAGGAGCAGCGGCGGTGGCATCGCCGGCGGAGAGAAGAAGTTCCAGGGACATTGTGGACGATGCGGCAAGTGGGGACACAAACAGAAGGACTGCTACGCCAAGATCCACAACGTGAGCACCTGGGACGGCAGTGGCTGGGACGGCAACACCTGGGACGAGAAGTGGGCGAGCTGGGACACCACCAACGAGAAGGAGAAGGGTGCGGCCTCCTCCCACGAGGACGCCAGCGCCTCCATCAGTGCCAACGCCCTCCAGTGCTCCGAGTGCGAGGACGCTGCGTGGATCTTCGCCGTCGGCACACTTGAGGGCCCGAGCGGAACTAGAGTTGGCCAGACGGTCGACATCATGGTGGACACTGGCGCCAACAAGTCGGTGTGCGGGCCCAGCGACTTCCCCGACTACCCCACTATGCAGGACAGGAGGCTGGAGATCAAGGTCGCCAACGGGACCTCCCTGAAGCACTACGGCGACAAGCAGGTGAACTTGAAGACGCAGGATGACGACGAGATCAGTGTGAGATTCCACGTCACGGAGGTGACGCAACCGATCCTGAGTGTCAACAGCATCAACAAGGCAGGAGCTGGGGTGGAGTTCCCGCCGTCAGGCTCGACGGGCCCACCCTCGATCACGCGGGATTCGAGGAGCGGGCGATCACGGCTTGGGCTGAAGAGGAGGCTCGGCCTGTTCTTCCTGCGCGCGACGGTGATGAGCTACGTCGGCACCAAGATCGGCGCGGACGGCCTGGTCGTCTACAACACGGCGACGGGCGTCCCCGAGGAGTACATCGCTGCGCAGGTGGACCAGCCGATGGAGCAAGAAGTCAGGCCCGAGGCTACGGTGATGACGGCTCCCAGGGAGCCGACGCGAGCCGAGAGAGAGGCTCACGAGGCCCTCCACTGTCCATACGCAGCGTGGTGCGCGGACTGTGTAGGGGGGCGAGGCCTGGACGACAGGCATGAGAGGATCAAAGAGGTAGAAGGTGTGCCTGTGATCCAGATCGACTACATGTTCGGCAAGACGCATCGTGACGAGAAAGTGCACCCAGTCATGAATGCCATCGACAACGTATACCACTCTACGGCCTCGGTATGGTGCGAGGCGAAAGGTGGAGGAGACCTGTTTCTCCTGAAGTGTCTCAAGCGGTACGTGGAGAAGCTCGGGTTTGAGAAGGTTATCATCCAGTGCGACCCCGAGAATGCGGCCAAGGACGTGGCGGCCAAGGTCGCGAGGGACATCGGGAACAACGCGACCTTCAGGTACACACCGAAGACGAGCAATGGGGAGCAACGGCATGGTGGAGAGGTTCCACTCGTTCATCGAGGGTATGACGAGGACCTGGAGGAGAGCCATTGGGGCAAAGTACGGTATCGTGATCGAGTTGAGGCATCCCCTGATGGCCTGGATCGTGCGCCACGCATCGTGGACCCACGATCGCTTCCTCATCCACCGCTCCGACTACAAGACGTCCTACGAGCGTCAGCACGAGAGGCATTATGCCAAGAAGGTCCTACCGCTCGGCGAGACGGTCATGTGGAGGCAACCTGGGCCTATCGCCGCCAAGTTCGAATCCGCGTGGGGATACGGCATCTACCTCGGGCGGTCGTTGGAGGACGACTCCCACATCTGCGGCACCAGGCACGGCATTGTCGTGGCGAGGTCCGTACGGAGGCTCGTGGAGAGCGAGCGCTACGACAAGCAGCTGCTGCTGGCCATGAAGGGCATCCCGAGCGACACGAAGGCGCCGAATGCATCCACGCCAGTGGCAGACAGACCAGCCCCCGACCTCAACCTCCCGCAGCCCGCCAGGCTTCCGCGACCAGCGGACGCCGCGCCCGAGGAGGGGCAGGCAGGCCCCCAGGAGGGGGAGGTGAGGTTCGAGGAGCCGCAGGAGGGGGACCCAGGGGGCGCCGAGGCAGCTGCCGACGGCGACGAGGCCATGGACGACGTCGAGGACGCACCACAGCCCGTCACGAAGAGGCCGAGGGGCCGACCAGCTACACGAGTGCTTCCAGACCCGATGTCAAAAGAGTTTACCCCAGGCTGTAGTGGATGCTTGGGCACATCGTACCGTCATTCGAACTTCTGTCTTGAGAGGAGGGGGTTGCCTCCTAACGAGCCGCGTGGCAAGCGGGCCGCGGCAGAGAGCGCAGCTGCACCTGAGGTGAAGCGCGCAGCAATCGAGGAGCCTGAGAGCTCAGCTGGCAAGCGGGCCGGCGATGAGGCGCCTGCGGAAGGCGAGGCGCACAAGGAGAGGAGAATTGCTACGGTGAAGGTTGGCAGCGTGTCCGTCGCCAACTTGATGGGCTACCCAGACGACACCGAGCTCTGCACGCCGTGCGAGCTCGACCCCAACTTCGAGCTGCTGAGCGAGGCGTACTACGACGACGACGACGGTGAGCGCCTCGACCCCGACGCCGTCCGCGAGGGGATCAAGAGGGAGGCGAACTTCATGGAGTCCCTCGGCGTCGGTGAGGTCGTGGCGCGACCCCGACACATGAAGGTGTGGGGCACGAGGTGGTGCCACCGCAAGAAGGGTGAGGGGGTCCGCAGCAGGTTCGTCGTGAAGCAGTTCAGGGATGCCCAGGCGGGGGATTTCTTCGCCTGCACCCCGCGCACGGAGGCTGTGCGCGTGCTGATGGCGGCGGCGCTGATGCTCAAGCACGTCATCGTGACAACGGACTTCAGCGTGGCGTTCATGCACACGCCCGTGAAGGACGGCACCGAGATCTACGTGGAGATGCCGCCCGAGTACGGCATGGGGCATGGATACGTGTGGAGACTGAAGAGGTCTCTGTATGGGCTCAGAGAGGCAGCGCTACGATTCCAGGAGTTCCTGGAGAGTATCGTGGTCGGGATTGGATTCAAGGTCTGCAAGGCGGAGCCCACTATATACCATCACATCGAGAAGGGCATCAGGGTCGTGGTCCACACGGACGATCCTCTTGCCTCAGGTCCCACGCGGGGAGTGCTCGACGAGTTCTTCGACGAGCTGGCCAAGCACCTCGCGATCAAGGGGCGGTACGTCCTGGGCGAGAACCCCGTGATCTACCTCGGATCGTCGCTGCAGAGGTTCGGGGACGTGATCGTGGAGAAGAGCAAGCCCGGGTACGTCGAGAGCATCCTCGACGCGGCGGGGATGCTGGGCTGCAGGCCTGTGGGCACCGCTGGGGTCAGGCCAGACCTCACCCCGCCCGGAGCCGAGCAGCCGCTCAACAGCGAGGAGCATTCGCTGTACAGGAGGTGCTGCGGGAAGATCCAGTACGCGATCCCGCGGAGGCTGGACGTGATGTACCCGCTGAAGGAGCTCGGTCGTCGGCTGAGCGAGCCGAGGGTGGCCGACATGAAGTGCCTGAAGCACCTCCTCCGCTACCTCAGCGGGACGGTCGACCTGGCCATGGTTCACCGCTCCACGAAGGACTACAAGCGCATCCGAGGTAGCACCGACTCGGACTGGGCGGGATGCCACGAGACCCGCAAGTCGACAGCATGCGGGATCGTGCGGTGGTGCGGGGTGGTCGTCAGTGCCTACGCCCGCACGGAGTCAGTGCTCGCCCAGTCGAGCCCTGAGGCCGAGTACCTGGGGGCCGTGGAGCTGGCGGCGGAGATGCTGTACGTGAGGGAGCTCGTCAAGTTCATGGGCTTCGACGCGTCACTGGAGATCGAGTGCGACGCGTCCTCCGCCATCGCGATCGCCTCGCGGCGCGGACTCGGCAGGTTACGACATCTGGAGGTGAAGTGGCTATGGCTCCAGCAGCTGGTCGGTACGGGCCAGATCAAGATCGTGAAGGTGAAGGGCACGGAGAACCTCCCCGACGTAGGGACGAAGTTCCTGGGGAAGGGTGCGCTCGAGAAGTGTCGCACCATGCTTGGTCTGGTCCCGATCGACGCCCTCGGGAATGGCATCGTGGCTGCCCTGAGTGCGTCCCGAGGAGCACGGTACCTGGCGACGTTCATGGTCCTCGTGAACGGCGTGAAGGCTCAGCCAGCCACACCCGACGGCGGACCCGATCCACACCTGGCGATCGTGGTGATCTGGTCGGTCCTCTGCATGCTCGTGGGCGTGATGCTGTGCTGGTGTGGCCGGTGCATGTGCCTATACCTCCCGAGGTCAGCTGCAGGACGGACGGGCAAGGGCTGCTCCAAGGGTCAGCCCAGTGAGAGCTCGGAGAGGGGCAGACCGGAGCCAGAACCCGATCCGCCCCCAGCACCCGACGCTCCCCGTGATCCATGTCGGGAGCCGTCGGAGCCGCGTGGCAGGGGCGTGCTGCTGTTCCACCTGGACACGGTCGGGTCCTCGATCCATTCGAGTCCGAACTGCCAGGCTCTGCGCGATCGGCATCACCCGCTGGTGACGAGGAGGGGTTGCCTGATCTGCGCTCGGTTGCTGGGCCAGGGGGCGCGCATGCTGCACCACACGGACAGTGTCGAGAGTGCGGTCCACGCCGACGCCGCCTGCCGCGGGTTGAGGTCGCGGAGGCGCCGTCTCGTGAGCCGCGGAGCGTGTGCGTTTTGCTTCGGGCATCGTGGCTAGTGCCTGCCCGCTGCGCGTGCGCCCTCGGCAAGAGGCTCGAGGAGGGGTGTCGAGATATATCGCCCCCGACGCCCTTCCGTGCCTCCCCTACATATCCCTTTCCCGCTCTCACCCATGCACTGTACTGAAGCCGTTTCGGCGCTGAGGATTTGAGAGTGAAACGGATCGGCATCGTTTATTGCTGTTAAGAAGAACTGTAACACTGGAAACTACAGGCTACAACTGGTACAGGAAACTGCGAACCCGCGCCTACAGCCTGGTGGCCCCACAAGGGGGCCGGCGGAGATATATATATATATATATATATATATATATATACATACATATACATACATATAAATTGTGGAAACATGTTTTTATCGCCCCCCGGCGCGCCCGATTCCCGCCCAGCCGCAGCGCCTGGCGACCCGCGCCACGAGCCCAGCCTCCTCGAGGGCGGAGGCCGCGGGGCCGCGGCCGCGGGCGGAGGCCGCGGGCCCGGCTGCCGCGCTTCGCGCGGGGGTTCGTCGTCGTCGTCGTCGTCGTCGTCGTCGTCGTCGTCGTCGTCGTCGTCGTCATCTCTCCTCCTCCTCCTCCTCCTCCCCTCCTCCCCCTCCTCCTCCCCCTCCTCCTCCTTCCCCTCCGCCTCTTCTTCCTCCTTCGCCTCCTCCTCCTCTCCTCCTCCTCCTCGTCATCCTCCTCCTCCTCCTGCCGCACTCCGCGCGGGGGTGCGCCCGCGGCCTCCGTCGGGCATCCCGTCTTCTGGGTGCTCCCCTGGTTGGGGGGCGGCATAGATAGGGGGGTGATGACGGGGGGGGGTGGATATCATGGTGGGGGCCATGGCATCTCCCCAGAATTCGTGGCGCCTCTTCGTGTTTCACTACGTCCCTGCCCCCCCCCCCAAGGACCGCGCACATGCCGCCGGTCATGGTTTGCGCCCCCCCCTCTTGGACGCCCCCTTCTTGGCCGCCCCCGAGCCCACGGCCCCTGTCGGGCAGCCCGTCTGCAGGGGGCCCCCCTCGTCGGGCCAAGCCCAGACCCCCCCGAGTCAGGAAAAAAATCTCCTGGCGCGAAGTTTCTCGCTTTTTGCGGCCTCTGGGGGCCCTTACCCGGGCCTCGGGGCCGTTCAGAAACGACCCGGGGCGTTTAACCGGGCCCGGGCAATGGGTCGAGATTTAGGTCGGGCCTGCCCCCCTACAGGGGAATTTTGAGCGAAACATGGAAAATATTTGAAAAATATTGGCCAAAAATCGTCAAAATATTGGCCAAAAATCGTCCCCATACTACTGTTTGACTATATTTGAATATTCCTCCTGTAGAGGGACAGGCCCGACTCAAGTCGAGACCTCTGGGGGTCGACGTTGTGAACAAAGCATGACGTCGGGGGTCTGGGGCTGGGCGGGGGGGCTGCCCAGAGAGCCGACGCTCCCCACGAGCTTGGCCGGTCTCGGCAGGGCTCGGCCTGAGCGGTGTTGTTCGCGATCCCGTGGGCCGTTCCCGCTTCGATGTTTCGTTTTGCGGTGTAAGGGCGGAGTGAAGGCAGCTCGAGGAGAGAACGAGAGCACGACGACGACGGGCAATACCGTTCAGGTCGAGCCCTGGTTTTCGGCCTTTGGGGGCCCGTGGCGGCCGCGGGACCATCAAGAAACGAGTCAGGTCAAGTCGGGCTTGTTTCTCTACAGGAAGGATATTTATCCTCATCCTCATCATCCTTTTCTCCCCTGGGAGGCGGCGCGAGAGCGCGAAGCTATTCGCACTTCGTGCTCCGCGCAGAGCGAAGCGCGAAGTTGGGAGCCCTTGGATTCGCCCTCCAGGATGTGTGGCGACCATACCCGAATCAGGCCTTACCGAAGCGGGTCTCCAATCTTTGTGTTTGAAGCGGTGGGAGCGAGGCTTGCGCCAGCCGGCGTGCTTCCCTGGAGTTGTTTTTTCTTGCAGGGGCGTTCCATGGGGTTCCTGTGTGTTCTTCGGTGTGCTTCATACTATTCTTGTGCCTGCCCCCGGTCGACTGGCTTCGTATCTGTGTTGCGTTCCCCGGGTTGCTTGATCTTCTGCGTTGTACAGCGTTCCCTGGGTTGTTTGGTCTTTTTTCCCTCAGGCCTTGTAACGCCAAGCCGTGCCAATCGACGTCACGCAATGTTGCTCCGTCCCCACTTGCTCATCTTGAGTATCATCCCCCGTTCACGTCCGCATGCATGAGGGCTTAAAGCAGCCGCATCATATCGACCCGTTCTCGACAAACCATTACCGAACAGATACATCTGTCAATCTGGACATCCGACTTCCCCACGATGATGCGGCGCGCCGGTGTTGCAGCGGTTCTGTGTGGGGAGCTGTCCGCGTGTTCGCACGCTTTCTTCGTGAGGCACGATCGCCACATCACCGCAGGCACGGGCAGCGACGAATCGGTGCTCGACCAGGGAGCAGCAGACGAAAACACAGCGGGGAAATTTCTGTCGAGTCACCACAGCAGCCAGTACTTCATCGCCGACCTCGATGATGACCGCATGATGCTTGTGACCGACCTTGGGGAGGGCTCTGCGCTGGACAGTCACGAGGGGATAATCGCAGACGAGGTGAGCTTAACGTTGTCACCCAGAGCTCGCCAGAATGCCCATGCTGCACAATTCGAGGCAGAGTTCAAGATTCATTTGAACATGACCCAGGCCCACGCCACAGGCATGCCCATGGGGCTAGAGCTCTCATTCGATACCGACTATCAGCCCGTGTCGGTCAGCAAGGTCAAGAAACACGGCCTTGTGGAGGAGTGGAACACGGCGAACCCTGGCAACGATGTACACGTGGGCGACGAGATCGTTCAGGTCAACAGCGTCCAGTGGCACCACAACACCCCTGATTTCGTCAAGCGCATCAGCGGCCAGTTCAAGGCCGGACGCAAGTTGACGGCTGGGGCGAATGAGTTGTTGACTCTCTACATCCAGAGGCCGAAGCAACATAGTCACAAGCGCTTCCCGGGGCAGCGGGAGGACGCCCATCACAAAGCTTACCCCGTTGAGTTCGATGCCAAGCTTACCGTTCTCCCGTTGGGGCTGCCCACGAGCGCCTCGGAGAACGAGGTCATGGGCTGGGAGTTGTACGCCAAGAACGACTGGGACCCGGTGTCGATCGGCAACCTCACGAGCGGCGGCGCCATCGCCGCCTACAACAGCGCCAACCCAGACCGCGCCATCATGGCCGGGGACGAGATCGTCAAGGTCAAGTCGAGCCTTTCCCTCTACCGGAGGAAGATTAAAAAATGGGCAAAAAACAGTTTTGGGACGATGTTTTTAGGTCATGTTGATCATTTTTGGGCATATTTGGACTATGCTTTGCATTTTTCGTCCAAAACCCGCCTGTAGGGGGACAGGCTCGACCTAACGTGAAGGTCAATGAGGTCGCTTGGCACCACAGCGCCAAGATCTTCCGGCAGCGCATCGCGCAGAAGTGCACGATCTTCCGCAGGCAGGCGTCGGGGTCCGAGCCGCTGGTCCTCTCCATTCGCCGGCCAGCTGCGGTCCACCAGGCAGCGGAGGCGGCGAAGGATGCCTCACTGGCTGCGGCCCAGGGCCGCGTCGACCCAGCCCAAAGTTCTGCTGCGCCCGAGCCGGCGCTGAAGAGCAGCGGGCCGTCGGAAGAGCGAGTCCGAACTCTCGCCGAGTCCCTCCAGGCGGCAACCGACAGGGTCCGGGCCCTGAGTGCAGAGCGCAGCGAGGTCGTCCAGCAGCTCTCCCAGCTCGTGCGCAGGAAGGCGAACATCTCGGCCGAGCTGGCCGTCGCGGAGGAGGCCCAGGAGGATCGGGCCGAGGGGGGGATAGGGAAAGGGGGGGGGTACGAATTCTGCTGCATGCAGCTGGCTTCGGCCCCGCCGCGGGGCCCATTCCTCGATGCATGGGCGCCTCCCGGCGCCGGGAGGCGCTGGGAGGCGCTGGGAAAATCAGCCACGCTACCCTACCTCGCTATCCCCCCCTTCCGTTCCCCCCGAGAGGAGCTGGAGGCCGAGCGCGACGAGGCCCTGCGGAAGGCGGCGCCCTCGGAGCAGCCAGGGGGCGCCCCCGGAGCGGGCAGCGGGGCGGTGGCCTCGGCGCTGCCGACGCAGACGCCCCCGGGCGCCTCGGAGGAGGACGGCAGGTCGTCGGAGCGGGTCAGCGTCGCAGGCCTGGGCCTAGAGGTTGACACCAGCACCAATATCGGCGTTGTGCCTCCACCGAGGGAAGAAGATCTCGACCTCGATCTCGGTGATGGTGGTAATGCTCTGGCTTCCAAGGTGTCCGAAATATGACCACCAACGCCAGAGTCTAGGATCATGTTCCCCCTGTGGAGGCAACCCCGTGTATTAGTGCTGGTGCCCATCTCCAGGCCTCCAACAGTGGGGATTCGGGGTCCCCGCACGGCGTGGGGACTCGGTCATTCTCCGAGGACTTCTCGGGCGATTGGGGCCTCCAGTTAAGTCGGGCCTGTCCCTTTACGGGGGGAACATAACAAATAGTCAAACAATAGCCTGGGGACGATTTTGGGGTCATTTTTTAATATTGTTGGGGGCAGTCTTGGGGTATCTTTTATTTTTCGTCCAAAGTGCGCCTGTAGGGGTACAGGCCCGACTTAAGATTCGGGATCCCCGCACGGCGTGGGGACTCGGTCATTCTCCGAGGACTTCTCGGGCGACGGGGATCTCCAGGGAAACCGTGATACGTCGGCGAAGCATCGGCGAAGCATCGACGATGGATCGGCGACGTCGGCGATGCATCGGCGACGTCGACGTGAAGAACATCGGGATCCACATCGAGCCGCATCGCCGATGCATCGGCGATGCGGAGCGGTCCATCGAATCCATCTACCCGAACCCCTCCCATTTGGGAGGCCTTGAAAGACGCGAGCCGCGACGCAAAAGACAAAACCGCGCGCGGTGAGGCTGGGGATCTCGAGGCCACCGCGCGGTCCGTCTCCGCGCATCTTCTGTGGCCCCGAAGGTCGGCGCCCCCCGGGAGTGCCAACAACGGCGGCGCGATCGGCGCCTCGGAAGGTGACGAACAGCCCGATGCCCCCGAGAGCGGCGACGACGTGATCGGCGCCTCGGAGGATGGCGACGAGTAGGCGCCCAGGTGGGGCGGTGCCCTGGGCTTCACATCTCCCGTCCCACCTCCAGAGAGTAAGGCGCAGCGTCGACGAAGACGTGTCGTGGGGGAGGAGGTGCAGGAGGACGAGGAGGAGGAGGAGGAGGAGGAGGTCGAGGAGGTCGAGGATAGCTGGGCGGAATAGGGAATATGACTGTGAGGGAGGGGGGGGGGAAGAGGAGGACCCGCGACTCAAATGACTCCGCCGAAGAACACGAGGGATCCACGACTGACCCGTGGAAAACGCGGCTATCCCGACGCCGCGTGGGCGTCACCGCTCTGGAGAATCCCAGTTTGCGGGTGACATTTAGCCTTGAGATTCTTCAGGGCCGTGGAACGTAGCCTGCTAGTCTCCCAGGTTGCGGGGGCAGTGCACCGGGCCAAGAGCACATGGGACTCGCGAGTGGATGTTGATCGCCCCCAGGCCTGGCACAAAGCAAAGGCCTTCGGTGACCATGTGGTGCCCGCGAATGGGCACGAAAGGGGCATCAGGGATGACTGCCACACGCAGCAGCGGGCCCGCTCGCGGCCTCGCCAGGAGCAGCAGCCCTGCCCACGCCAGCGCGGCCCGAGCGAGACACGGGAGGCGCCCGGGGGCACCACGAGCAGCCCCCTCGAGCCTGCCGCTGCCAGGCGACTCGGCGCCCCTGGCAGCCTCCGCAGGCGCCCCGCGCACGGCCCAACGGTCCGAAGGAGCCGAGAGGGCCTCGCGCAAGGGGAGGGCCTCGTCCAGCTGGCCCCTGGGAGCCGCCGCCGCCGCGGGCGCCCTGCACGGCAGCCATCGGAGCCGACTTGGGCTCAGAACGTTCCGGCGCGGCTTGCCCGGCACCCGCCCACTCTTGACGGCCAGCCGCGGCTCCCAAGACGCCTGGCGCGAGGCGCAGCATCTGCGGGAGCGCCCGGCGCTCGGTGGCAGAGCTCAGGCCAGGCAGCGTCGCAGGCTGAGCCATCGTGGTCGACGCTCGTGCTGCGAGCGTGGAGCGGCGAGCGGCGAGGGCCAAGCGCCCCAGAACGGCGCCTCTGCCTCAGGGTTCGCAGCGGGCGCCGCGTACTCCAAATCTCTGATTCATCGACCCCCCCTAATAAACCGGACCCCCCTCCAAATGCGACCCAATATTCTGGACCCCCCTCTTCGACGGGGCGCCTTCATAAACCGGACCCGCTATTCTCCAATCCAACGAACACGCCCTAATAAAACGGACCCCCCCCCAGTTACAAAAAAGGCGCCTTTCAAAACCGGACCCGGGGGACGATCCATAAGGGATTTGGAGTAGGGGCAGGCCGACGACCAGATTGAAGCGGTCGTAGTCCTGCTGGGCGATGCCGACGCCCGCCACCTCCTTCGGGCGCCCCCTCACCTCGATGGCCCCATCTATGGGCTTCCCGCAATGCCGAATTATGGGAAACCCATCTGCCGCCAGAAACCCTAGGGGATTCTGGCAGCCGATGGGTTTCCCATAATTCGCAGGCTTTCTGGCGGCCGATGGGTTAATTCGGAATTACGGGACGCCCATTGATAGACAATTGCCGCCTGCGAATTATGGGAAACCCATCGGCCGCCAGAAGCCCCTAGGGAATTTGGCGGCATATGCGTTTCCCATAATTCGGAATTACGGGACGCCCATTGATAGACGATTGCCGCCTGCGAATTATGGGAAACCCATCGGCAGCGAGAAACCCCTTAGAAATCCGGCGGTCTATGCGTTTCCCATCATTCGGGATTACGAGAAGCCCATACTGGGATGGGCGCGGGGGTTGCTACGGGGAGGGGGGGTTATCAGTGGACGCCAAATGGGTTATACTTGGTCTAACTTAGCTTTTAAGTGAGATACACATGCCCCAAGTGGCTTAGGAGCCCACTTAGCGTGGATCGCTGTCCCCCCCAAGCCACTTGGGGCATTAGCAACCCACTAATGAGCTAGGTTAGGCCAGATATAACCCACCTTGGTATCCACTGATATCCCCCCAATCCCCGTAGCAACCCCCGCGCCCTTTACAGTAGATAGGCGACTGCCGCTTGCGAATTGACGGAAACCCATCGATAGACGATTGCCGCTTGTGAATTATGGGAAACCCATCGGCCGCCAGAAACTCCATATGAATCTGGCGGCCCATGGGTTTCCCATAATTCGGAATTTCGGGAAGCCCATCTATAGAAGATTGCCACCTGGAAAATATGGGAAACCCATAGGTCGCCAGATTCCCTAGGGGGTTCTGGCGGCCGATGGGCTTCCCATAATGGAATTTCGCAGAATCCTGGACGCCGCGCAATTATGGGACATTCGCATTCGAATTCGCTCGCGCAATGGGGACGCCGAGCGGGATCGAGATTCAGAATTATGGGAAACCCACCGGCCGCCAGATACCCTAGAGTTTCTGGCAACCTTTGGGTTTCCAATACTTCACGGCGGCGAGCGGGGTCCAGGCTCCGAACCATGGGAAACCCATAGGTCGCCAGATCCCTTGGCGGGCCGCTCCTCCCTGGCATGCTCGCCCGCGCGCGCGGCCAGCAGCGGCGCCACCTGCTGTGCTTGCCCCGCCTCGAGGCCCAGGCCCTGCGTGGGCGGGCACCACCTCCGCCGGCGCCGAGGTCTCGGCCGGCCGCGCCCCGGCTCGCGCGGGCTCGTGGGGCTCCGTGTCGGGGGCCGCCGGCTCCTGCCAGCTGCGCCTCGGCTGCTGCGTCAACGGCGCCACGGGCGCTGCTCCTTCCTCTCGGAGGGTGGCGGCCTCGTGCTCCGCGGGGGCGCCCTCGCTCTTGCTGGTGGCCGCCTCGTGGTTCTTGATGCGGTGGGCGCGCGGGCGGGCCAACGGCAGCTTCTGGTGCCAGTCGCCCCGCTCAGCCACGAGCCCCTCGCGGAGCACGGACCAGTCGGCGCAGCCGACCCCGTCGCACAGCCCAAATTGCTTGTCGAGCTCACGGATGCGGTTTCGGATGCTGCCCCCCCCCTTCCCCCCCGCGGTTGGGCCCCGCCGCCATTGCGCATTTCGCCGTCGCCGACGACCATCTCACCCGCGTCGCGGGGGGCGATGGCTGCTATGAGTTGCTCGATCTCCTTCTTGGCCAAGGCAGCCGCAGCGTCCTGGCTCGCGGTTTTGGCAGCAGCCCGCGGCGGCACGACGGGGGTGCTTGCTTGCTGGTGCTTGACGACACCGCGTCGGCCTTCTAGCATATCCTTTTTCGCCCGCGCGTACTTGGTATAATTCGGCGCATTCACGTGATTCCACCACTCGGCTCCCGTCCTTTGGTGGTGCATGCAGAACTTGCACGTCCATATCTTGGCCGTCTCGGCACAGCGTTTGGTTGCCATGGCCTCGCCGTGGTGACCCTGCAGGCGGCGAGCCTTGCTGCGACGCTGCCGCTCGCGCCTGTGTCAGGCAGGAAGAGTGGCTCGCTCCCGCGGAGAAGGTGGGTGGCACCAGCGCCCTGGTCGGGGGCGGCTGGCGTTTGGGGGTCAGATGGGATGCTGCGCCTCGCCCCAGCGGGGGCTCGGAGCCCAAACGGCAGCCTGGGTGGGAAGAGGATGAGGAGGAGGAAGAGGAGGAAGAGGAGGAGGAAGAGGAGGAGGAGGAGGAGGAGGAAGACGACGAGGACGAGGAGGAGGAGGAGGAGAAGGAGGAGGAGGAGAAAGAGGGCACGTAATAAAGGATGGGATGATGGCGTTGAGCAAACGTTGAGTGGAGGACGGGGAAGCTGGGGAGGAGGAGGAGGAGGAGGAGGAGGAGGGGGAGGAAGCTAATGGTGAGGAGGACTGATGTTGAGGACGGCGGAGAAATTTGGAAAGCTTCGGGAGGGGATGGTGACGGAGGCAAAGGGAGAGGAGGAGGAGGAGGAGGAGGAGGAGGAGGAGGAGGAGGAGGAGGAGGAGGAAACCGATGTAACATGATGAACAGCGTAGAGGACGACGGAAAGGAAGAGGGGAGGGAGGTGGAGGAGGAGGAGGAGGAGGAGGAGGAGGAGGAGGAAGGATGAGGAGGAAGAAGAGGAGGAATGGGAACAATATGATGCGGCTTGCGAGGAGGAGGAGGCGGAGGAGGAGGAGGAGCAGGAGGAGGAGGCGAAGGAGGAGGAGGATGAAAAAGAGGAGGATTGACAGCGTAAACCCAGCATGTGCAACCGATGCTGCAGTACACGCTCCCGCCCTGAGTCCCCTCATCATCAGTCTCCTCATCATCAGCCCGTTTCATCGTATTCACTTTGCTCGGGACTGGGTCTGGGGGCCCTCGGACTGGGACCACGACCGCACAGGGGGGTGCCCGGAGCCCCGGGGATGCCATTTCGGGCCCTCCATCTTTTCGGGCGGCCTAGAGCCACCCCGAGAAATTTCGAGACGCCCGTGGATAGCCCCAGAAAGCTCCCCGAGCCGCTTGTGGTCCCGCACTGCCGCCAGAGGGTAGCCCTCCGAGCGTTCACGGATCCAACAAGCATATGTTCTCTTATTTTTGTTACCGTTGTCGCCTTTTCGGGCCTCAACTGCTTCAAAAAGGCCGACGACGCCTCCAAGCTCGCCCCAAGACGGCCCACCGGGCCCCGAAGAGAGCCCCACGGCGGCTTCCAAGAAGATCCTAAGACTGCCCCAGAGGGCTCCCAGATCTTGCTGACGGCCCCATAGTCCCGCGCCACAGGCTCCAGCGGGAAGCCCCGAGACTGTTCTCAGATGGCCCTCCGAGCGCCCCCAGGATTCCAAAGTCATGGACCACCCGTGTGCTTTCCAATCTTTCCAGCGTTCCCCTCCGAGCGTCCCCAGGGGCAGCAAAACCAATGATTGTCTTTCGGCTTTCGAGCAGTCTTCGACCTCCTATGTTCCCTGCCCCCCCACTGTTCCAGACCGCCCCCGATGTGGCCAGGATCCGCGCCAGACGGACCGATACGCCTCCAAGAGCACACCCTGACAGCCCACGAGAGGCCAAAGCCTCCCCAAGAAACCCTCGTAAGCTATCGGGGCTCTCGGGCAGCGTGCGCCGGATGATGGACAGTGTGAA